TAAGCATTATTTATACTATTTATTTTCAAGCGCTTTCATCAAAGAGTTCTTCGCATAGATGACATTGTCGAATAATTATTACGTTCGTTTTCAACTATCGATAACTTTCGTAGAATATTTCGAATTGAAACGTCAAAAGATATCTTATTGTTGAAATAATGCATATATTGTATTCGAAGGAAATGTAACTTACACTATTTTGAAACGATCTACGGAAGTCAAATATGACCTTTCATACTAAATACTTGTGTAATTGATGAGCAAAGTTAGCGTTCCTAGTTCTAGTACGAGAATGGGCTACTTTTGACTCCTTCTCAAGCTTCCAGCATTGGACCCGAATAAAAGTATAAACCTGAAATTGGAGTTCGAATCTCACTTCTAGGAGGATTAATAATTGATTTGTCATTGTCAAAAGAAGGGCCTTTTTATATCCAGAAACTTTCCTGAAGACACTACTAGTCTAAAATGCAAGATTCATGAGATAATGAGACCACTGTACGGCGCCGACTGGGATTGAACCCAGGCCTTCTGGGGTGAGAGGTAATCACGCTTACCACTACACCACCACCGGTGCCGCTAAAATCCAGAGATGATTTTGGCATCTTTCATATTTCGTCAAGAAAGTCTAAATATTTATAGAAAACCAAATCACGAGCAACAAGGCTGTGATAAAACCAAAATTTCTATTTGAGAAATTGGTTTCCCCAAATGTGGAAATAATCCTCAGAATATTTAAATGAGCACCAACTGCTCACGATAGATTAAAATGAGTAAAAATAAATTGAAGGATGATATAAACAAGACTTAATTGGTTACTGATCATGAATCTTGAGTAGGAAATATTTATCAATATTGATACCAACACTTCTAATAAAAAATTCGTAAGTATGAGGATTCGTAAACAGATTTAGTTGTAAAAATAAAAGCAGGTAGAAAATAAAAGCAGGATTTAGTGTAAAAATAAAAGCAGGTTAGAAACATAAATTAGATCGAGAAAGGATTGAAGGGAAGTTACCCTAGTAGCACGCTTGTCACAAATCAATTGTAGAAACTTATATACGACTTATTTCAGTCATAAACAAGTTGCTGTAACTTATAGTGATGAAAGTGTGCTACTTGGGTAAGACGGCCCTGTGATTACTGAGCTCATCCTGGTAATTCCTGAGAATCGGGAAATACTTTTATCCAGTGATCAAATTTAACTTACTGAAGTTTCTTCCAAATTTCCCCTGGAATTGTTTTCCACCTTACTCTGTAACCCGAGTAGCACACTTCTGTCGCGAAAAGGTGTAGCAACCTATTTATGACTGAGTCGTTTAGAAGTTTCAACAACCGATTTGTGACAAGCGTGTTTAGGGAAGTTATTTTCTGATTTCTTCCGGAAAGTTATTTGAACTTCCCTCGGGAGCTTTTTCTAGCCCTACTTTTGATGGATATGAGTAGATCCTACTAAAATTTATGTTGTTCAGAAATAGCGTGTAACTTTTCCTAGAAGATTCTGCCGATCATCACTCGATTTTTTTCGACATCCCCCAGTAATCTCTTTCTTCCGGAATTTTTTCCAAACTTGTTCTGGAAGTTTCTAACGACTGCCCCGTAAACCCTCTATCTTCCACCGGAAGAAGCTTCCGACTTTCTCCAGAAGTTTCTTCCAAATTATCTTAGGAAGTTTCTTCCAGTGTTTTTCCAGGATGTTTCTTCCGTCTTTTCCAGGAAGTTCCTTTAAACTTCTACCGGAAGTATCTATCACATTCTCTCAGAAGTTTCTATCATATTCATCCGGAAGTTTCTCCATCAGCTCCTCCGGAGGTTTACCCAACTTCTATTGGAAGGTTTTTTCTAAGCTTCTTGGAAGTGAATTTTCGTCAGATTTCCGGAACCTTTCTGGTTTCCTCTGGATGTGTCCAGACGTTTCCCAATATTTGTCATGGAAGTTCCCCGAATCCGACTTTGAATTGAACTTTCTTCAAACTTCCTCCAGAAGAGCTCATTCCCAGGAATTTTCTTCCGACTTATCCTGGATAGTAAATTTTCCGATCTTAGTCCAAAAGTTTAAATTTTTGCCTTCAAAAACGGTAAAAATATAATTGAAATTAAAATAGTAAATGCCGATGAATAGCAAATTTTTAAAACTTTTGAAAACAATCTGTCAACGCTGATATGAAGCTAGAAAGAAAAATTAACCCTCCGTTACTCGTGCTGTTGTACTTTGTACAACACACATGAGTTTTCCACTGCCATTTTGTTGCTGATGGATTGGTATCTGAAACCAACGAGTATTCCTCAAAAAACTTGTTTTGATCTAAACAAGCTAAACTTTGATTACAGTAAACACCAAAAAAAATGCGGATAATAGGGAAAATGTAAATAGAAACCGCGTAAACTGTGACCATACTACGTGGGATTTGACTTAATTCATTACAACATGGAATATCTTGAGATCCTGACCAGATGGAAAGTTATTGTCTTTCAAAAAAGTTTTTCAGGAGGTCAAAGTCTATAGTATGGTTCTCAATAGTTCATATTTTGCTCACTACGCGACGCTAGTATACACGTGAAATTCTCATATAAAATATCTCGACTTCCCGACCAGATAGAAAGGTACTGTCTTCGGCATAGTAGTTCAGAGTTTCCTCACTTCACAGCGCTACTATACATGTTAAATTCTCGCATATAAAATATCTGTTGATCCTGACCAGATAGAAAGAATTCGGCAAAGTTTTTCAGCAAGTCAAGATCTTTTTGTTGAGTGACAATAGTTCAGAATTTTCTCACTATGCGGCGCTAGTATATACGTGCCTTTCTCTCATATTCAGCTCGAGATCAGCTAGAAAGTTGCTGTCTTCGGCAAAGTTGTTTAGGGGGTCAAGACTTTTTAGCTGGTAGACAGTAGTTAAGAATTTTCTCACCACGTGGCAAGTTTTTCGCTGAGATCCAGCAAAATAAAATACCGAGCTGCTCGGTGGTGCCCATCTTGGTAAAACATTCTAAGGGTGTAGGTACACCCAAAGTCATAAACAAAAGGCCTGATAATATGAAATTATCATCTCTTTCTTTATACCGCTATTCCTACGCTGCTAGGAGTGTGACGTCGAATTTATTGTTACATACACCTTATCCTAAATCTAAACGAGAAGAATCTATTCAGTTCGTCTAAAATGTGTAATGTAATGTAAAATGTATAAAATATAGTCACTCGTAAGATTGCTTTACTCAGTTGTCTGGAGAAATTTCCAAAAGCGTAGTTCATTAAGCGCTGAGTAACCTACACTCCCGATCATAAGCTTAAATACACCCCCAAATGTGTTTTGTTCAAAGTTCTCTCATTTTACGTGCAATGTTTGATCTCCCTAGGTTATTTGAATGGTATGAATGGTATAGCATAAGGGTGCTACTACTACTTTTAATTTCAAATATTTATTTTCAACACAGTTCTGAGTCAATCAATCATGATTCTTCAGACTACATTTTGAAAAATATTGTAACTTTGGGGGTGTCCTTAAACTTATAATCGGGAGTGTACGGTTTTATAAATTTCTCCATCCAACTGAGAAAAAGTGCCTCACTCGCTGAGTTAGTCTCGTTGTCCGTTTACACGTAAATACAGGGATTTTTTGTGTGTTCTAGACCCCTCGATAAGACATTTAGCGTTAGCGTCGATAAGACGTTTTGAAATTAGCCTAAAATGAAAGGGAGACTCTAAACATTCATTTGGTGGAAGTTTCAGCGATATTGATGTTTTATCCCACTTAGGGTGACGTAAATTGAGAGAGAATTGCCCGCCAAGTTTTGAGAAATTTCTGAACTACTTTTCATCAGCCAAAAGATCTTTATCTCCTTAACAGCAGTAAATTTCTAGCTGATCAGGATCTCGAGATATTATGTATGCGAAGATTTCACGTATATCCTAGCGCCACGTAGTGAGAAAATTCTGTACTGTCGACCAATGAAAAAGTTTTGATCTCCTGGACAACTTTGCCGAAAAACAGTTTAGTAGGTCTCGAAATATATCTCATGCGAGAATTGCACGTGTATACAAGCACAATGATGTGAAAAAAAAATGAATTTCTACACACCAGCCAAAAGGCCTTGGCTTGAACAACTTTGCCCAAGACAGTAACATTCTATTTGGTCAGGATCTCATGAAATTTTATATGTGAAAATTTCACGTGTATACTAGCACCGCTTAGGAAATTCTCAACTATTGTACACCAAACAATAGGTTTTGACCTCCTGAACAACTTTGTCGCAAACAGTAACTTTCTATCTGGTCAGGATCTCGAAACAAACCACATGCGAGAATTTCAAGTGTATACTAGCGCTACGTAGTGAGAAAATTTTGAACTACTTTTCACTAGCGAAAAAGTTATGACCTCTTGAAGAACTTTGTCGACGACAGTAACTTTCTATCTGATCAGAATCTCGAGATATTTTGTGCACCAAGCAATAGGCATTGACCTCATGAACAACTTTTTCGAAGACAGTAATTGTCTACCTGTTCAGGATCTCGAGCTATAGCATACGCGAAAATTGTACACGTTTACTAGCGCCACGTGGTGTGAAAATTCTGGGCTACTGTCCACCAGCCAAACAGTCTTGACCCCCTGAAAAAGTTTGCCGAAGACAGTAACTTTCTATCTGCTCAGGATCTCGAGCTATTGTATATGCGAGAATTGCATATGTATACTAGCACCACGTAGTGAGAAAATAGTGAACAACTGTCCACCAACGAAAAGATCTTGACTTCCTGAACAACTTTGCCAAAGATATTTACTCTCTATCTGGTCAGGATCTAGTGATGTATCACATGCGAGAACTTAACACGTATACGAGCGCTACCTAGTGAGAAGATTCTGAAACTTTCTAACAATGCTGCAATTGTTGATTCGTACATTGAACATTTTGCAACCATCGTTAGGCACCTATATCCTAGCCAGATTTTCAACGCTGACGAGAGCGGGCTTTATTTCAAATGTACTCCTTCGTCAACATATGTCACAATGGACGAATCATCAGCTCCAGGAAGAAAGGGGAACAAGGAGCGTGTAACGTTTATGCCTTGCGCAAATGCCGATGGTTCGTTCAAACTTCCGCTTATGATGATTGGAAAGTCAAAACGACCAAGAGCATTGAAGAACGTCCATGAGCTGCCCGTATACTATGCCTCGTCAAAAAATGCCTGGATGACCCGGCAGTTATTTAAGGATTGGTTTTTGAAGGAGTTTGTTCCTTTTGGAAGGTGCTAAACTGCCGGTAACTGTTCCGCACATTGCAGCGCCGACGAGCTTAGAACTGCAGATGGAGCAATCTCTACGATCTTCCTACCACCAAACACAACAGCCTTGTTGCAGCCAATGGACCAAAACGTCATCCAGATGGTCAAGTCCAACTACAAGCAAAAGCTTTACGTGAGCTTCTTGGACGCCAAGGAGGATTCGATGACATGGTCAAGAGAATCAACATCTAGGATGCTATGTTTTGGGTAGCCGAGGCTTGGGACGAGGTACCGGCTGATTCCATTGCCAAGTCATGGAAAATTCTGTACATAGCATCAGAATTCGATGATGAAGATGACATCCCGTTGGCGGTTGTACGAGAACGCTTACTTTCGATTCAGCAGAAATTGATGGACCAGGACAATACCGTACACGAAGAGGACGTGGAGTTCCTGCTGCGAGAAGTACGTAGAAATGTTCTAGAGAAAATAATTGATTCACGGAATGTAATTGTTTGATTTTTATATCTCTTGCTTTGTTACTTTTATGCATATCACTACTCAAGAAGTTGTTTTTGTTTTTCCTGAAATAAATTGATTTACTGAACGTAAACGTTTGATTTTTTTTTCATAATTTGTTACTGGACGAATAAATTTGTTTTATTCTTAAATAAACAATAAGTTGCCTGACAAGTTTTACTAGTTTATTTAACCATGATTATTGTATTGAAGAAACACGAAGCTCTAAGACCCTCCCCTTGGCTAGTTTTTGCACCTTGCTGTTGGTGGGCGGGTTTAATTTCATGCTTTATAGTTGATTGTTGGAGATGGTAGGTTTATGGCCGGCGATGCTGGCTCATGCCGCAAAATAATGGCGCCATGGGCAGGCAATGGGGATTACTAAGCATCCCCTCTCTGATAAACCACTGCATGAGAGAACCAAAGGTCTAGTCTAGCAGTGATAGTATCACACTTGTTACTCCTTTAATTGAGAGCCGCGTCGTAGTACGCTTACGTATAGGCACTGACGTTAGGTGTGATACTGGTGGGTTTTGCCGCAAATCACTCTTATTTTATTTATTTTTTATTTAGGGAGGAAACCAAAATTAATCAACTTGCCAACATAGGCTATCATATTTATTTTGGTGGCACTCTTTAAATGATAATAAGCCTTTTTTTTCTCGCTTTGGTTGTCTAGCACGGCTTTCGGAATTCGCGCGGTTTTCGTAACTTACATAATTTAGATATTTCGTTCAAAACGTATTTACTTATTCAATCGGTTTACTACGCGGATGTTTCTACGCGCACACGTCACAGCATTTTTTCTATAACTATCTTGAAACAATACACACGGAATCCAGTGTTCAAGCTGCCAACATAGGCTAGTCCTTCTGCTGTATTGTCAAAGATAGAAGCAAAATTTATTCAAATGGGTCAAGTCTTGAAAACTAAGCTGGTACGCAGCTCCAGCTTGTCAACCAATAAAAAAAAACCGCGAAGCTCTAAGACCAATTTTATGAATTGAAAACTTTTACCGTTGTTCCGCATCTTCCATAGGGTCACCCTGTGGTGTTCAGAGTCCATTTTCCGAATATAATTCTCAAAGAATGTCACTATTGAGTCCTGCAATCAATAAAATACCATCAATGAGTGTAGAAAACAGTTCACCTCAAACGATACTAATTGAATTCTACAGGCTGACAAAATCGGGTCACCACTGTATTCAAATTATGAATGAATATAAAATAAATATATTCATTTGAATTAATTAATTTTTATATACACTGCAGATAACCGAGTTTCAATATACAAAGCAACCCCTCTTTCAGCCCCCTCCTCTAAGCTACATCCAATATTGGTAAAATAATCATATTGTATATTATAATACTTAATTATTTCAAATTTCTGCATAAAAACTAAAAAAAAAGGCAAAATAAAAATCCTCCGGATAATCGAGTCGAAAATTCCGGATAATCGAACCCCGGATAATCGAGTCTCCGGATAATCGAGTCCGACCTATATATATATATGAGAATTTCACGTGTACGCTAGCGCTGCGTAGTGAGAAAATACTGAACCACTCTCCACCAGCGAGACGGTTATGATCTCTAGAACAACTTTGCCCAGGACAGTAACTTTCTATCTGGTCAGAATCTCGAGATTTTTGAACTCAGAAACAAATCAGAATGGAAAAAGAAATCACTGAGCAATCTTCCGCACCGCTACATTCTGAATCCACTCGCTGTAAGTTTTGCTCGCTTCTACGTTCAATGAAACAAATCGGTCACGCACATGTTTCCGCTCTTTTCTGATATTGTATACAAGTGAGCGAGTGTTACATGCAATGTTGAACGATTTTTCCAATGTCTGGCAGACCAATCTCTGCGTAATAGGCTTACATACAAGCTTTGTTCAATTGTTCATTTTTCAGAAAACACCTTCGTTCCTCTACATCGATCTGAATGCACTAAATTTACCCATTCATTCAAAAGTTGAAAACAAACACGCATAATTAGCAGGGCACTGAATTGCACCGCGTGCACCGGTTGACTTGTAGGCTGCGTGGTTTATGCAGGGAAAACATTTTCCTGCTCATCATAAGGCTTCAATAAATAATGAATTTTATAAACATATGTGAAAAATTTACAAAAAAGCCATCAAATCAATTAACCATACAAACTAGCGCCATTTTTTTTTATAAAAATTCAAACATTGATTGACTATCTAATTTTTTTGAATCGTTATTCATTTTCTTTGGCTCGAAGATCATGCTGCCGTTTTCGCACACCCATTCCCAATCGAACACAACCCACTAATGTTCGCACACACATCCGATGGGGCAATCAATTGAGACCGAATTGAATGCATAGCTTTTCAACCGAACCGTGTTGTTGTCGGTAGTAACCGGGTATGGATTCCATTTTATTGAAGCGCGATGCTTGTCGAAAAAGCCACACAACCGAAGGTGCGTGAATTTCCTGTTTGATAAATGTTAATTTAACAAATTATACGATCTAAACGAGCTCTCTGCCTTGCCTTCCTGCTTCAATTTGTCAAAACAAGTACCAAATGAGGGAAAATTAATCGTCAATCTGGTGAAATTCGATTTCTTCTCCCCCCCCCCCCCTCCCTTCGACGGAAGCGGGCGTTACTTCTGTTTCTTCTGCTTCGAGCGGAAGAAAGTAACTCGTTCGGCGGAAGCGCCAACGCTCGCCGGAAATGGGAAATTACGTTCGAATGTTTACTCGAATTCAATTCCACCGCCTGATTGGATTATCGCACGCTCAGTCAAAAGGGCTTTTAAGTCCTATTCTCTTTTTTTTCCGCATGCATCGTCTTAAATTACCGTAATCCTGGGGAAAATTGATCACTTAATAATGAAATGGGCCAAATGTTGCCCTACCCAAGTAACAATTTTGGTTTTATGAGGGTTCTGCAGACCATGATTTACACTTGTAGCATGCTTTAAAACTTCGATAAAACTTTCAATGTTACTTGGGTATGGATCGAAAGATTGGGCCCATCGATAAAAATCTCACGTTCTTCAATATTTCGTAGAACAATGCGTCATCTAGCAATACAAATTAATACTTTTGTTTAAGGTCCCAATATTAGGGACACTTAGGCCGATATTAGGAACATTAACCATATATAAATAATGTTTCACATTAAACGAAATTGACAAACTTATGGAACTAAAATCAGTAGCTATGGGTCTCTATCGTTGTACATGATTGCTTATCATATTGAGTGTTTTGTTTATATGTATAGTAAATGTTGTTCTTAGATTTGAGTTCCTTGAATCCACATTATATACAAATAACCTTCTGCGAAGTATATTTTCAGCAGAAATAAAAAAAGAGATTTCTTAAAATGCAAAAATCCGCCTAAATGTTGGCAGTTTCTTTGAAAATCTCTGTATCTAGATTTCACAAAAAACCATTGATTTTTCAATATTGAACACATTTTAAGATTTTTTTGATTCATTGGCACTTAGTTAAATGAAAAATGCAAATTTCAAGCTAATAACAACATTCATTGCAACCCTTTGATCGTTTCTATATAGAATGCTATTAACCGTCAGTTAAATAAAATTGAAATTTATGCAGTAAAATCTACTTTTTTGTTATGAGAAACGCATTAACGCAATAATTGGAGTCTCATGATGAAATGCTATCAAGATCTATAGCCGAAAATTTTCTACGTTACAACTAAAAACGCAACCCATAACGATCAATTTCAACTCCGGTGATCAATTCGCCCCCGGATTACGGTACCCTTTCTTGCACGTTGGAGTTCTTCCTAGAGTAGCTTTTCCGCAGTAGGATGCTTGAGAAGATGGAAAAGCGATGGTCTTAATTTCCTTCCAAACATAGTTCTATCGCGGAATATATGCGAGAGGGGATGGATGGTACAGACACACCACCGTTGTTTGCGTGAGCGGATTCGCGTGCGGGTAACGATGTCGTCTTGGATGCTTGAGCCACCGTCACTATCAACATCATCATCATCATCATCGTCATCGGTTTTATATGGTTTGTTACTGGCCGTTGTTGACGAGTCGTGGTGCGTGTTGGTGATAACGTGTTGATTGGCTTACCGGTCACGAACGTTCCTGGGGCATGTAGTAGTAATTATGGAAGCACTTTTGCACGCGCTTAATTTTTTGTCCTGAGGGAATGATTAGTTCTTAAATTATCGTTTGGCATACAATTTCCACTGAGCAGCTCCTTGGTGAGTCATTCGAAGTTGCATATAAAGTTTTTCGTTGTTTACAATTTTCAACATCTCTTTATAATGTCGCTTTCGTAATCTATGGACAACCCCATTCTATTTTTTTTTTTCCTTTTGACTTTCTCCTTTCGTACCCGTCTATTAATGATGCATGCATTCATGTTTGCGTATAATTATTCGACTGCAGGCTCCTGTGACCAGTAATTAGCTTCAGCAGACCAATATTTACAAACTTTCACTTGCCATGCTGCTCGGCTTTACTACGCTTCGTCCTGCATGGCCAGAAGGCACGTTGATTAAGTAAATATTGCGTAAATCCTCGCGAGCACTGTTTATGATTCCACTTCCCACATTTAATAGCGATGGGAATCGGATTTTTGGAGTAATTTTACCCGAGTCAGTAATCTAATTTTCCCAAGTCAAGCGCCGTCGTCACCGGGAATAGTTGCGATGTGAGCGCCCGCGACCTTCACGAAATGTGCAAATCCCGACGGCGAAAGCAATCAGTTGCTGCGTGTTTGGTGGGACGGAGGTGTGGTTCGAAAAGCCGCACATCAAAATCGAATTTGATTCTCATCATGATTTCACTACTTTTATCGCCTCCGCCGCCGCCACCACTGATCGGCAAAATATGAGGCGAGTGATCACCAAAGTGAGCAGACGCTATATCTACATAAGCTCCGCATTTGCTGTTTTTTTTTTCTCGGTCGGCGAAATTGATTCCCGATTTA